GGCATTCCCTAGTCCCCCAAGTTTGCAAGCTAGAAGTTGCGTCACCATTTATAGTGTATAAGAAAAGTTGTGTTAGCCGTTAGTATTGTTGGTAGCTGGGTACCTGGGCATTTGGTGAGGAAGCCGGGTCTGGGCCGCAAGGGGCGGGGGCCTTGATGCTTCGGTGGCTTTGGGAAAAAGGGTTGGGCTTTTAGCACCTTTGGTATCCTTTAGTTTCAATGCTCCCTAAGCCATGCAAGCATGCAAAGTGTGGCCCCAACTTTTCTTTTTTTTTTTTTTTTTTTTTTGTGTGGCGAAATTTTAAAGCCTAGGCCTAAATGCTAAACCGTGGACCTCTCTTTTAAGCCCATTTTCGAGTTAAGTCGAAACCCGAGTTAGGCGGGCCGGGTTGGTTCGGTTCGGGTATTTGCCGAGGCCCAACAAAAGCAACAATTGAAGGCTTTTTTTTATTTATATTTGCTAGGCCCATTCTGTTTTTTTGGAAATATTTCAACAATTCAAGTTTTGATAGAAACTGTACATTTTTTCCAGTTTTTCCAGTTTCTCCAACTCTGCATATCTAAAGTTTTCATCATTCAAATACTTAAAAAAACCATAAAACCATAGCAAATCATCATCCACCACGCATCTCAAAATACAGAAATTAATAATTTTTGGCAAGTGCTGGGTATGCTCGGTTGATTATGGTGTAAACAGGTATAAATTAGACCAAAAGATCTGACAAGAAAAGAGGAGAGAAGAAGAGGTTTCAATTTTGATCTTGGAAGTTGGATATTATTAATCTCTTCGTGTGTTGTGAAATTGTGAGTGTTGAAGTTATGGGTAAGCTTCAACCGATAAAATATGGAGAGGGAAATAGTAAATTTCAGATGGGTTTCATTACCAGTACGTACACAAAAGTTGTCATCTTTTTGAAGCAAAAGAACAAAGTCTTGAAGAAAGCAGACTGATCTGCTCTGCTGCATGCACTGCAATTTGCATGGAATGGATCACAGAGAGCGCACGTGGTCCATAGATAGGTGGATCGTGGATGGGTCATGATGAGTCACGTGATAGGGCGTCATGTGTGTAGGCTAAGCCCATTTGCTGATCAAAAGGGCCTATAAATACTTGTTGTAGTTTTTCAGCAAAGCCCAGATTCGCCACTTGAATTTTGTCTGCAGACTTGTGAAATTGGAAGCAGCTCAGCATTTGATTGTAAACCGGTCGAGAGCTGTACTGTATTAGGGGTAGAATTCTATAGTGAGAGTCTTATTTAAGGTCTTTAGATGATACTCTATCTCTTAATCGTTAGATCAAATTGGTTAGTTTAATCCAGCAGTTAAGAGATCTAAGGGTCTTAGATAAGAAGCTCAATATAGAATGACTCATGCAAATTAAACGAGAATCATTTATCCAAGCAAGTTGATTAAGTTCAAATATATCTTTTTCTTTCTTTTGTGCTTTTTCTTTTTTTCTTTTTCTCCTTCCAAGTTGAAAAGTGATCCCATGTTAAGTTCTCGTTGATTGGTTTAGGTTCAAGATTGATTAATTGAGTAGCTAGCTACTTTAATTAAGATGTGAATCTGATGCCCTTAAGCTCTGCTGCATGCTGCATGCACTACTACTAGACACCGAGAATAAATAAATAGTCAAAGCATCGATAGATGCATGGAAGAGGGAATTTGGAGATTTCGATTCGATGCCCATTCAACTCAACCAGAGTACATACATGCAGATGCAGATAATTGCAAAAATATGCCCATTCATGTTATAATATGTGAACCAAGCCAGGCCATTGCCATACCTCCATTGTCATAGATGGACCTCACTTTATTATACATGCCCCATGTCATGGTCCTCCTTTCACTCCAAGAAACTACAATACCTCTAGTTGAATTATTTTTGCAGATATATACGTGATTTGCAGGAAATCTCCTTTCAAAAAAAGAAGGCAAGCAGTATCCTTAAATGCGTCAGCTAAACACAAAAAATAATAGAACTAAAAGTAGGGCTTATATATTGCTCCACCTTGAATGTTGTTGTTGTTATATGAATTAAAAAAATGCTCCACCATGAATATTAAATATTTAAAGAAAAAAGTATTTTTAGAGAGTAAAGACAAATGTTACCTAATCAACTGCATGGAGCACACACCCATGCCATGTGGCAATGCCAATAGTGAACACTCAAACCAAAATGAAAGCAAAATTGAAGATATGTAGAGCTCAAATTGATTAATTACTCTTACAGATTCAAAGGGAAATGAAGAACAAAAAAACTTGGGATGATCATAAGTACAATAAAAAGAAAAAGAAACATATTCAAGTGACATGAAAATTAAACAAGTTATCATATATCAACTTGACATGAAGGATTTCCAAGCAAAGGAACTTGACCCACAAACCCTCTCTTCAACCCAACCAAAACATCACACTTGACATAAACCCCATAATGCGCAGTCCTTATCGCACCGGCCTTCCACCGCAGCCTCCCCATCACCACCACCCTCAGCCCCACCACGCCGTACGCCTCGTCCATCGTCAGCCCGTTCACAACCTCCAACGATACCGGCACCGCCCTGCCGCCCAGCACCGGCGACACCGCCACCGTGCTCCGATGCTCGTGCACCAGCGACGGCAGGGCCACCTGTGGTGTGATCGCCTGGTTCTTGTACGACACGAAGGCGTAGAGGCGGTCGTAGTAGATGGACACGCGGCGGTTGGGGTTGTGGGTGACGAGGGTGAACTGCATGGTGGTGGAGATGAGGGGAGGGGAAGTGGCGTTGAGGTCATAGACGGCGGCGCCGACGACGGTGAACTGGGGTTTGTGGGGGCGGTAGACGAGCCAGAGGGTGAGGGCGGTGACTCCGGCGAGGAGGAGGAAGATGGAGAGGCAGGTGCAGATGGATCTGTAGGGGCCGCTGGGGTAAATTGGTGAGGAAGCCATGTATCGTTTTTTTGTGGTGGGATTTTTTTTATGATCTTCTTCTTCGGTCATTTTAGGGAGGTGGTGATGGGTTTTATCTGGAGAGTGCTCCTTTGTCATGGATGTGGCAAGTGCTGGAGAGAAAAAGTTGAAGGAGGAAGAATCTGTGTGACAATTGGAACAGAAAAGGTGATGGAAAAAGAAAGGGAGAGAGTTGGGTTTTGCTTTCTAGAGAACTATTCTCAGTCTTTTTCTAATTCGATTTGAAACCATGGGTGCTTTGTTACTACTTCTTGTGCCCTTTATATTATTCCTTCGGATAATCCCCATGTTTTACCACATAGTTTATGTTTTTCTTTTGAACTTAAATCCGTTAATGTGGTCAACAAAAAATAGGTTAACTAGTTAATTTTTAAATCAACATTTTAGTGGTTTTATGGAACACATTATATTTCTCTATTTATTTAAACTACGAGAAGAGATATTTAAATTCGGGCACATCAACTCTAACCAACTTTAATTTCTTTTTCTCCCTTTTCTTGACTGGTAATGGCAATAGCTAAGTTGCTTTGTGGTTAAGTATTAGCCCAAGCTCCCAAAAGCTTTTCAAAGAAACCAACTTCAAGTGAAAGTTGGAGATTTCAAAAGGCCGACCCACTACTGCTTGGGACGGTCCTTTTTACAATTTTATTCCCTTTTTGTTTCCTTTGTTTCTAAACTGGAACAAAAATAAGCTAAGCAAATTCAACAAGAAGAGTAAGCGAGCAACTTAGCCATTTTAATTATCTCCACTTAATATATTTTTGTTTTTCATGTATATAACTTGAGATGGGGAAAGCTTCTGTATCTCTCTAGAGAGGAAGCCTTAGCTTTAGCTTACGTACGTACTGCACTTTACCAACATAAGGATAAGTCCAGGAAGTTGTATGTATCTGCATGGAGACAGTAGGTGGCTCTGTTTTGCCATCACCACATGCTTGCCTTTTGTTGGGTCTTGCCTCGTCATCCCGCGTGTTACATATTGCAGACACGTCACATGGGCCCCCATGATCAGATCAAAAGTAAATGTTGACCTTTCATGCATTTGTCTCAATTAACTTAAGATTGAGCTCCTGCTTTGACTGGGTATCAAAACAACATTGGTTGGTGGTAAACCAAGCTTTTTCCTTAACTTAATTGGTGTAGCGGTTAGTGCTATACAGCCGTAAAAGCTCCTTTTTCTCTCATTATTTTTTCTGGGAAAGGCATGGGGACAAGACTCATAATCTTTCCCACAAATGTGGAGTGCAAAGCAGAGAAAGCAAGAGAGGTAGAGAAAATATCCAACTGGCAAAACAACATTTTGATGCAAATTATTACACCATTCGACCAAAAAATATATATATTATAGCATTAAACCTCTCTAACTACAATCACTTATATGAGGTGCACGCATTACAAAGCATACTATGTAGAGATAAAACCGATACTTAATTACAGCACTACCTCTTTTCTAATCCCAAACTAAAACAAAAACCCAATGGCAATTATGCCAAAGAAACCTGCAAATTGTAGTCTTCAGCATTAACTGCATCATTCTGTGCTTCTTTACAAAAGCTTCAAGAATATAGAAGGAATCCTGCACCACACAAACCAAAGATTCTTCGCTTTAAACTAACCCATGTTCAGTGGAAGGCGCCAGAACTCAGTGTTATAACTCAACAGCAGCATCTGCAGTTGGAGAATCAGTCTGCGCCCGATGCACAAACTGACCTTTCACCCGGGGCCGCTGCTCTGCCAGTAGTTTCCGGCTTTGGTATCGGACCTGCATATAAACATGAGATGTTAAGGGAATGAAAACATCTTATGATGATATGAGTTATTGTGTGTGGTTTGGTATTAGCAGCTCAAAAATTGGAGGTTTCCAAATCTAGGTTTATCGGAGCCGTTATTCAATCTAAAATGTAAAATGGAAGTACCCAAGTTGGTACTTGGTACTACTAGTAGTAGTAAGAAGCCTAATGTAGAAAAAGAATAATTGCAATGCAGCTAAACCAGACTTTCCCATAAACATGGGTTGTGTCCAGCCTCAAATGCCAACAAGCGTCAAGAATGATGGCAAAATTTAAAGATGACGATAATACCTTCTTCTCAAAGCATCGATCCTTCCGCTTCAGTCGGAACTTAGTCAGAGCTGCTTCCCTTTGGCTGGAACGAAGAGAATCAGCTCCTCCAAGTCCCTCATGAACATAGCGACCACTGCCATTCAAGCTCTCAGAAGCCGCGGTAATCTCACTAGCCACAGCTAAGGCATCTCCATCATTGCTAGTACAATTGCTTCCATATGTGCCGCTACCAATATTATTGCCAACAGCATTGCCCAAACTACTACAAGCACTCGGCCCAGTAGCAGGAGAGCCAGGTCTAGATTCCTCCATGCGCTCCAGTTTGTTCTGTTCATGCATGGTTTGGTCAATAGATTTATAGGTAGTTTTATCGGACAGGTGACAATCTTGTTCTGAGTGGTGAATTTCAGGATTTGAATGATTTGAAGTATTCACAGGGAAGGAGGACTGTGCTCCATGGCAAACTGATTTGGTACTCCATGTTGGGGTTAAATCTGATTGTCTAACAAACAAGGATGGGAAAGAATGATCGTATCCAGCACAAATATTATCAGACCTTACCCCAATCATCCCAAGTTGAGGACCTGGCAAAGATATATCAGCTTGGGCAGTTTGACGGGATACCAAGGTAGACATTTCTTGGCTATCATGGGATTTACTTGCAACCTCTGATTTAGTACTGGGAAATGTTGGGAAAAGGGATTGCAGTGTCTTGCTATTATTATACCTGCATGCACATTAATTTGATCAGAAAAATCAGTGATATAACCACTAGTTTGCGTTTAAAATTTGAACAAGTTACAAGTTATTCAAATTTTGTTTTCTTTCTTAGGGAGGGTCATAGGATTCTATATTATTGCAAGCAACAAATACAGTAGGGTACTTGTTTTATTACTATTTAATTGATCATCCTTTCATTGTAAATGAGAGGTCAATTAATTTATGTCATTATTGCAAGTCTCTGAAATCTCCGAAATCTCTATCATTAGCTTTACTGCTACCCAACAGCATTACCACTGTAATAGTCACTATTACTGATATGATTTCTCACATCAAAATCACTATCATATATATAAATATATATCCTCATTTACCAAATTGATAACTGCATTTCAGAGAAATAAACAGGGAGCCAAAAGAAAAAACCACAAACGCATGCTTTATTTTTCTATCATCATCTCTCAAGTTTAACAACGGACAGGGAACAAAAGTACTCACCATGAAAAGGCAGAAGCATCAGAATGGTTCAGCAAAGGCCTTTCGTCACTCACTTGCTTTTTTGAACTACCCAAACCACTTCTCAAAGAAAGTTCCAATTGGGGAGCACATCCCATGTGCTTTGTACCATCCTCTCTACTCTTAGGGTGTCCAACAGTGCACTTGGGTGGATTGTCAAAGGTGCCAATGAAGTCAATAGCTCCACTGGATGGTTCATCCAGTTCATAAGAGCAGCTGTGAGTTTCACTAGAGATGTTAGCATTTCCTTTGTAACTTTCTGGTAGGATACCTTCACCTTCAACCATTTTTATAGCAGAAGCATGGTCCTCTCTCAGTCTTATAGCAGTTGAGGTATGACCATTCAAAGGTGCATCATCTGATCCAAATGTACCCGACTTCTCTGCAACCAATGCTTGTCAGATACCCCATGCTAAAAAATTACTGAAAGAAGAAAAAACTACAAACAAAAATAGAGAGGAAGCAAGAAGATATGGCGTACCTTTTGATTCACTCTCATGCATAACAGATTCCTTCGCTAGCCTAGCACACTCTTCAAGCCTTTCCATATCTGTATTGCTCAAATTAGAAGCACTCCCATACTTTAGTTGTGAAATATCCTGCATATTTTGCATGTATGCACTCTCAGCTCCCAAGAAAGGTGTTGTACAAGAACTCTGCACAAGAGGTAGACAAACATGCCGTTTGTATATGAAACTCCATGGAACCAACCTATTCTCGAAGTAGGAAATTTTCTCAAGCAACAACTGACCTCACATATGCATAATCCTGGATACATACTTCTAAAAAGTTATTATTTTTTAATTCAATTAGGCAAGTTAACATGGGAAAAAAACAATTGATACTTATTGACATATTATCTGAGATGTACTACATTTGACAATTGATACTTTCCTTATCTGAGATGTACTGAATTTGTGATGAGAAACTGGCATACATTAGCAATACAACATTTATGCGTACACCTAAAAGCGTGACATGTATCATGAAAGAGATTATAGAGATTCAAACAGAATTAATGCCCTTGAACAAATGAGAGACGGAAAAATTGCTATATTAATTAAATATACTTACTTGGGCTTCACTTCCTTTCTCACTGCATTCCTTATTTCCTCGCATAGAAACTGCATAATCATTTGAATGTTTACTTGCTGCATTATTCTCAGAAGTGGCTTCAGCTTTATGCTGTGGAACACCAATCTGTTGATATAAAATATAAAGAAAGAAGAAGATATGTATAATTTAAACTGTAATAATCACTGCAGAAATTAAATAAAGATAAGCAATCCAATAAAGTACTAAAAGGGTAAAGTGGAAAAATGGAACATACAGTTTGCCTTCTCCAAACATGCTGCCAAAGGTTCCTCAACTCATTCCTCCTGACAGGCTTAATGAGATAGTCAGCTGCACCTTTTAGCATGCATTTCAAAACCGTGCTAACAGCATCCTGAGAGGACATCACTGCACGGTCATAAAAAAAGGTTAGCTTCGCATACCAGCCAACAACTATAAGTAAGAAAGAGAGGACATTAAAAGGACTGTTTCATAATTCATGTTCAGACCAACAACTATAGGGAAGAAAGAGCACATTGTTAGGTAAGAGTAACATACTTATCACAGGGATGTTCTTGCACATGTCATGCTCCATGATTAAAGTAAGGAGCGCAAATCCGGATATTGACGGTAGCTCTGCTTCAGTTAATATAAGATCTATCTTATGATGTTTCCCCTTTATGACCTCCCATGCCTTTAATCCATCGCCAACAGCAACAACTGCTTAATCCAAACACACAGACAGTATATTTTCAGAAAGTGAAGATCCACACTTTCTACAAACATTTAAATGACTACAAACAACCACAATTATATCATTTCAACACCTTGATTGTCATAAAAAAATTCACTAAATGAGAAAAAGAAGGAAACTTTATATCAAAATTAAGTCAAATCATCGCATTTTTCACAACCAAAAAACGGAAATTCAAATACAGAAAGAGGGAACAGAGCAATCAACCTCTGTAATTGCATTTTCGAAGAAGCGCAGAGATGATCTGACGCGTCGAATCATCGGCTTCAATCAGAAGAACCCTGAGCACCATTTTCGGCAGATAGCTCCCCCAGCTCACCACCTCTGCAGAGCCACTACCAACACCACCACTCTCTTCTTCTTCCATGTTCTTCTCGTTCTTCACAGTCTCCATATCCTCACTAACCACAAATTCACCCATTTTCATGAACTCCACCAAAAACCAAAGGCACACGGCTAAATCCTCACAATTTCACAGAGCTAAGCTAGAAAGCAAAAGTCAAAGTGAAATAGGGTTTAACACTTCCAAGTTGCAGAGAACAAAAAGATTCAAACTTTACCTCATCCTCTTCAGCTCAAGAAGAAGAAGAAGATGGTAGCCAAAAAAAAAAAAATCTAAAAATCTTCCTTGAAATTCGCCAGAGAAGCTTAGGATTAATATTGTGAGAGGAAGGAGCTTTTGCTCACAGCCGCGAAAAACCTGAGTAAATATCTTTTGCTTTGCTCTCGATGCCCCGATCAAAAGGAGGGTCGTCATTGGCTTCTGGGTGGAGAGCTGACGTGGAGCGTTTTCGGCCACCGGTTTTGGTTTATTCTCGCTTGTGCTGATCATCTACGGCGTGCGGGGTCCACACGGGACACATGTCCGAGAGCCTGGGGCTTCGCGGGCTGGATATTTTTTAGGAGCGTTGCCACGTCCGCTTTGCGCCACCACAAGTACTTGGGATCTCATGGTTGTGAAGGTCGACACGTGGTCGCTTCCAAGGCAATCGTGTCTCCGACCTTTGTGATCCATTTTTCTCTGTCATTGCTCTGATGATTGATCCCCTATATATTTGGCTAAAATGTTTTGGAACGCCGAAGGTGTTTCAAAAATAAAATAATCAGAATATGAAAAGTATCATTGAATATTGGGAGTAGAATTATATTTGCTCTTTTGGTATTTATACTGATAGAATTCTCTCGGATAAAACTCACTAACACTCAGATTTCACACTCTCTCTTCTTTCCTCTCACTCTTCCTTTCTTTCCTCTCTTCTCTGTTGGTTTATTTTGTTAAGTAATGGGAAGCCTATTTATAGGCAAATTGGATGGTTTCCAACATCATCATTAAGCTTTTTGAATATTATTTCCTTTTTTTCTTTATGTGGGCCCCACCACTTTCTTTACAACACTTCCCTTTGGAGACCACAATATATGAAATATGCATCGTTAAAAATCTTGCTAGTAAAACCCAGTAGGACAAAAACTGGTCGAAGGGAAAAAGAGTACATAACCCTGTGTAACTTAAAATTCTGTGTATATTGACATGCGTACGACACTGCCTCGTTAAAACCTTGCCAGGAAAGTGAGATAAAAACATGGACGAAGGAAAAAGAGTACAGTGTGTGAATATTTTTATTGACAGCACGCTCCCCATGATGCTTCGCAAAATATATTTTAAGCCATACTGTTGATCATATTTCTGAAGGTCATAATTGACACTACTTCTGCGAGTCAATATTGTAATATTGTTAGATGCTCCTCCTGAAGAATATCTCTTCCTGATATCTTCTTGACTATCTTTCTAGAGGGAAGATCTTTCGGACTGAGTGAGTGATGTAGCCATCAACAATTCATGTAGTTGAGTAAGCAAATATATTTCTAGTGAGCTATCTTTATATAAATTATAGAAATTTCCAAAGTCCGCAAATCAAACAAAAACCTGGGCTATTTGTAAGTTCACTTGAAAAGAATATGCCCATATATTATTTTATGCAGAGATGGCATCAAATATCTCTAACATCATCCCAAAGTGGTGGTGATGAAGCTGAGCTCTATTTGGAAAATACAATGTCCTGTCCAGTATATTTCCGGAAAAATCATTTAAATGCTCAACAAATAATCCACATAAAAATGTTTCAATACTTTCTTAGTATAAGCAAGAATCTCATTGGCCTAATTCTCGATCTTCAGGCCGAGACAAATATTTTTTGAACTCTTCAGGAGTTTTAATGTATTGCAACCATATCATAATTAATGTACTCACTGAGGCAATTTATACATATTAATATTGAGTACAAAATTTGTGCTAAAGGCACATGTCATTCAGAGACTTGCTTCATGTGATTACAATCCTTTATGGATTTTATTTAAGAGATTACACTTCATGACACATTATATAGCTTCATATCCAGCTATTTGTTCTGCTTATACATCTTTAGGGAATCACTTCTGGCGATATGCTCTGTGCATTTAATAACCCTTAAAGATAACATGTTGGTCTCCATAATTGTGCAATAAGAAGGCACGGTTGCATTTGTAAATATGGAGAACCTCAACATTCCTTGTTTCTACTAGAGACATTGTGCCATATAAATTGAGTAGAATCCTTTTTTATTCCAAACACCCAAGTATAACTTTCAAGGTTAACATCTTTTGGGGTTCGTACTATGGGTTTGTTCCTTCACGTTCATTCTCATCTGTAATGGAATTGCCTCTTTCCATTTTTTGGCCAATGATATTGTCGACATTTAATAATAGAACGTGGTTCCAATCAACACAGTCCATTGATGATTTGAGTAACTACTCCAAAATCAAAAATGGTCATTCATCAATTCGTGATCCCATTATTCTCATATGCATGCGCATGCATTAATTATAACATTTCTTTGCTTTCAGGTACCCAAGTCACTTCAGGGGCTTTTATTGTCTCTTTCCAGACATACATCTTTTATAGGATGAATTATGTGAGAATGTGGATCTTAACCTCCAATAAAGCGTTATTTTATAGTAGAGTGTGGATAATCTCTATTTAGGGAATTAAAACATTTAGAACCCATATATCTGTCATGCTGCAAGCATGCCATAGATTAATACATACATGTCAATTAATTGTCCTTCTAGGACTTTAAACCATATAATTTGCTATGCATTAGGCGTGCACCTTATTAATATTGATATGTTAATGGATTGTCCTCCAGGACTTCAATCCATATCATTTGCTACCCAATAGGCATGCATCATATTGATCACTGCTCTACCCATGTTCTATTCTTATGAGACTTTAATCTATGCAGTGTATTATCAATGTATTCAACTTGCAATCTGTGAAATTTGCATTAATAATTCATGAATACATATCAGAATGATACAAGCCAATTTTATGGAATGGTCATAATACAAGTCATTCTTCTGGAACGATCTATAATGCAAGTCATTCTTCTAGAATAGTCCTTTGCATGTCGTTCTTCTAGAACGACCTTATCTCTCCATTTGGTTACCTTTAAGGATGTCGTACAAAATATCAAAATAAGAGTGCAAGTATGAAATAAAATAAGTATTGCTTACATCCTTAGGTGGGAGAAACTTTGCTCAAATATCATTCAAGCTCGTATCAGCTCAACAAATACAATGTAATGCTTGATGATCTAGTTATATCCTGCAAGAGCAAAAATCACAATTGTTCTGTCTATGTAAAAAAAAAATAACCCTCAGTGTTAGGTTCACTATATGGATTTGTTCTTCAGATGTTCGTTCTAAAGAAACAAAATCCCTTATGAACAGAGAGTTGTAAAAAGAAAGAAAAGACACAAAGAATTGTGATATTGATTGCAAGGTAGGTAAGAAATCAGGGAAGGAAACTAGTGAGATAACGGACAACAAACTCTCATTTCTCCTAACCTAGAAGAACTTCAGGAGATTAGATCATGTGATCGTCCTTACAATTCCTTGATCTAGCTGAAACTTGATCAGGGATAGTCTCGCTTCCTGAATGGATGATCAGAGATAATCTTTCTTCTCAGGCACATCGAGTGCTCACTGATAAGGAAAACAAGGGGATAGTGCATCACTAGATATGGAGAAAGCTGGATGTATTCTGCAAACAAGATTTCGTTAGTAACATATTTATACACAAATTAGAGGAATATGTAGATCTGGTGAATTTCAAATTAACCATAGAAATTTGTGAGGTTCTCGAGATTTCTTTGAAAAAGTAACTCCGTGAAATCCTCAAAGCAAGATCGGCTTTGGCGAAAATAGTCCTTGAAACCCTTCAAGTGTCGATAGACATTAATGGAGGCAGCGTGAAGTTTTGAAATCTGGACAAGAAAAAGAGAATATGGGGATCTAAGAAAATATTGGGATCCTGAAAACGGTGCCACATTTTCATCTATAAAAATTGCCTCTGCAAGGCCTGATTGGAGTAACTGCGCTTCAACTCAACTTCCTTCCATTTTTTGAAAATTGAGCTTTTCTAAGACTTTCCTTGAAACCATTTTAAAATGACTTCCTCTTCTTCTCCCCCAAAGCATCTCGATTTAAATATTGCTCCCAAAACAACCAGTAACGCCAAAGTCTGGCGTCCATCCTTTGTATCCCAAAATCGTCATCTCATGATTAATGATTCTGTGATGATGAATGATACGACTGATGTCATAGTAGCTAGGAATTTCCTTACTCCTATGGATGAAATACTGTTAACAGGAATGTCTGACGAAGAGGCTATTGATGACTCAATGGCTTTTAGCATTCCGAGTGCTGCTTTTGTTTCTAACATGGTTGATTGTTTATGTGCCAGAGCAAACGAGATTCAGGAGCTGAATACTAAAAATTGGTCTATTCAGAGAATGATTCATGAGTCTCAACAAGAGGTTGAGAAATTTAAAAGAGGAAAATAAGGTCATGTTGAAACTGGTGAGTTCATACTCCATTGATATGCAGACAAGGCTTGACATGCTGCAGATTTTCAATGAAAATATTTTGGGAGACCACAAGAGGCTCATTGGCTAAGCTTAAGAGGTATCGTCCTCAAGAACACATCTATTCTTTCAGAGCTCATAAAAAACCGCAACAACCGTCACTCGCTCTCACCCTTCCACCAAAACCCCCACCCTTCTCCTCCTGCATTTATTCTTTGTAGGAGCTGCATATTGCCCCTTTGGTGGTGCACTCTAGGTGTTCGACAAATTGCCAAACCTAAATTGTAATATGCTTAGTGCAACGCCTATTTTTTTTTAAAAAAAAACATTCTAGGGCCTGCTTTATAAATGATAAACTTTGAAAAAATGGCTCTAACCTCTAGGGCTTTTAACAATTTAATTTTTAATTTTTATAATATTTATTTTTTAAACAAGGATTAAAACAACAATTATTTTTTAAACAAGGTTATTTGTAATACTATTTTTTTTTCTAGAACTTATGAATGACACTGGTATTGTTTAAATTATAAGGATATTTGGTTGTCAAATTTTTTTTTTTTAATAAGCTTTTAGCCTTTCAAAATTGCACATTCACTAAAAAATTCATGGATTCACCAGTGCTTGTGCTTTCATTCTCCTTGCAATTTAAGTGTTCTCCTCCCCTCTTCTTCAAGGGGGAAGGA